TCTTGAAGCCGCTAAATAAGCACATCCCTACTGTGCTTTGATATTTGTTGTGACCACCAATCTATGGTCAAAGATTTTTTATAATAAATATCCCTGTAATTTTCCAGCAGGACTACGAATAAATATTCACATATTGTTGTTGTTCTGATTTCTAAAACACTTCCTTAAGAACCTGCAGGGTTGGGAAATATTACTTGTTATTTGGCTTATATCAAGTATCATTACTTTTTTTCTGAATAATTTGTCTTGGTACATGTCTTGTACTTGTTACTTGTTCTTAAAAATACTTGTTATCAGCTACTAGTTATTTCTATTTCAAGTATGCAAGTAGTAGTTTTTTTCTCTAAGTACTTGATAGAATGAGTACTTGATTCAAACAAGTAACAGATAAAACTACTCGAACGAGGCCAAGTATCAAATACCTACCTGCAGTTTTGTTTTGATCAAACATCCTTACCAGTATAATAGTCTAGCTTAGAAATCTATGAAACTCGGCAGATAGCAAAGTTTTTGCACGATTAAATGTAATCTTGTGCGTGAGTAAGGGTCATTCGACAGTAATCAAGTATGGTTTCAAATTAGCCAAGAAACAGTTGCCAATGTCAAACATTAATTAATGCAAGAAGCAAACAAGCTACTGACTAATAATCTCTTCCTTTTCTTTTGCCTCTTGAAGGTAATTAGATCTGCACCAAACTTGGAACATAAGAGATCACATCTTGTATATCCGTTTTTTCATCGGAGCATACATCCTCTCCAACCACATAACATCTGTTCTCGTAGATATAATCTCTAATTTCCTCTTTACCACAAACCACTGCTACTTTCTTCTCCTTGTCAATCAAGAAGAAACTGCCAACTTCAAACCAACGGTTAAAACCAGGGAAAGATTTCATATCAACTTTAAAGAGATTGGTCCACGACACTGCATCAGGCTCAATCTTAGTTGTAATCCATATCACCAATTCATATAGGCTCTTTTGAAATAGCACCCCAAGCTGTTCTCGAATAAAAAAAATTTACAATACATAAACTTCATAAGTTTATAAGCTTATTGGAAAATTCCATCTTTAGATCATTAATTTAGAACATCAAATTCATAAGTTTTCTGATAAAATTTCGACCAAACTTTTAAATTCAACAAATACGTAACGTCATTCATATAGAACGAGGAATATTTAGTGAACATTTAGATATGAATATGTCTATGATTATATTTATCTAGCTGAAATGCTTAGACTGACTTGAGTAAATGGATACACATTATTAGCATACAAAAGAATCAAAAGAAAAGGAATCTATTCCTTCTCCTTCTTCCAATTACTATACTTGTATTATTGACTGAATAAGGAGAAAAGTGAAACAAAAACTAGAAGAATGATGGTAATATTCCTCTGGTAACTCATGATTGCTCTCCTCCTTTTGTTATTCAACTAAGAAGATATACGGAAAAGGCTCAAGAGTCTGACTGAATGATCAATCAAACCCAAAGGATCGTTGTTGTTGTTTTCTTCTTCTACCTAGCTACTGGAGCAAGAGAAAGACATTGAAATATGCTTGAAGCTCGAAACATCAAATAACTCCATGAACTTTTGATCTGAAACTCTAGCTTTAGCCGCTGCAAATCGCTTGTACTCATCGAAGATCGATGTCAAACACCATTTCTGGAGTTTTCTCATGCACCCAACAAGACACCCTGTCCTATGCTGCAATATCAACATAACCATTTGTTTTAATTTGAGGTCAAAAACAAAGAAATGATAAACTCGTCTAAGGAGGAGATTTAGTATGCTTTACATACCTTTCCTCGGTTGCAATGAATCAGAACTGGATGGTTCTTCTCATCTGAAGATTAGAAAGAAGATGAAAATATTTTTAGATATACTGTAAATAATCATGAAACATGTTTTGTTACTTAGTGTAGTATTTTAGGGGTTTTATGATTCGTACCGAGAAGAACCTTAAGTGCTTCACGGATTTTTAAATCTGAGATATTTACAAATGCTTCCTGCAAAAATGAGGAAAGATAAGATCATACTGTCAGTCTCTTGGTAAGTCTTTTATATATTCTAATAACAAAGCTTTACACCCAAGGCACGCAATTAGCCAAATTATAATGAAACATTTCAAGCATCGGCTATATTGTTGGGTTTAATTAGACCTAAGTTGATCAGAAAACAAGATTGGTTTGGCTAGTCCCCTAGAATACTGTGAAAGAGCTGTGAGGTATATTAAATCTTCATATGTTAAAAAGCTAGGCACAGACAAACATATCCACAAAATCAAAAGAAGGTCCATCAAAAGAAGCCAATTATGAAAATGATTTCCTATGAGGCTATAGAGTTGTCAGTTGTCACACCCAACATAAAGAATCTTAGCCAATAAGAAGATTGAAGTAGAGACCATAACAAACAAAATATGAGTGTGGAATATTCATGTCCTTCTAGTCAAATCATTCTAACAAGATGATAAAAGCCACTTTACATCATTTTCTAGTCTAAAAAGCTTAATTGACAAGTCTGTGGAAGGGAGAATTCTCATCACTATCACAACAATATATTGGCACGAATATTTTACTTATAGACTTTTCGTAAAGATGAAGATCCATAGGACCATATCAAATAAAACTAGCCGCCCCATCACAAATTCAACAAAATAAAATGTTTTGTTGGTTTCTTATGGCTGCGGTAGAAATCTAAAAAGTTACACTAAGACACTTTACGATAAAGACAACTGATTAACGACTCTACGCTCAAGTTTTTTTGTTCTTCCCTCTCTTACCAACATTTCCTTGAAACGAAGAGTCATTTTACCAAAACATAAGCCACTTGAAACGAAGAGACAGGTATAGGTAGGTATTAATAACAGCAACTGAACTATCTATCACTTTCACACTTCCAACTTTATCTAGATACATACCTACCACCAGTTCATAAGTGGATAATTTTACCAATAACGCAGTTTAGACAAAGTCACCTTCTCCAAGTTTTCATCATCAAAACCAAAAAGTTTGAGATGTATTGTCCTTTTCAGCTACAACTTGCGCTGCCTCAAGAACCACTTCTATTTATATTTTTTTTTTGGTTCAAGATTGCATAAGGTATACCACTCATGCATCAAAGTGCACGCGCAACTAACATGAACCAAGAAAACAGTATCAACAGAAACACAAAAGAAAAGTAAAAACTTTCAGAGTAGTGGATCTCTGACAAGAATTGTATTAAGCAACTCAGCACTTCTTTGACGCAGCCCACCATCTATTTTTTTTTTTTTAAATATATATATACAGTAAAAGGACAAAGCGGTATTAAGTTGATGAAAGGCAAGAAGAAACAAACAATGGGGCCATGAATATAATGAATGGTGTACGCTTTTCTTGGGAGTTCATATAAAATTGTGGATTAGAATAGTCTTTCAATAAGGTAAGTCCAAGACAAAATCCACACATGAAATGCCATCTTTCTAGTCTAAATCATAACATGCAACGATAATGACCGCTCTGAAGTAACATGAAACTAAATGAGGATTAAAGACACATGCATATTAAGCAATTCAGATTGTGATAAGAAGACATAGTCCAATTAGTATTCAGATTAATACCGTAGTTTTGGAATTTCCATTTGTATAGGAACCCTCATTCTGATGCTTCCGAAGATGCAACCAAACCTCGTTCTCTAATCCTGGCAGACACTGCATATTTAAAGATATAAAACTTAAAATTCTGAGATTCCCTTTTTGTAATTCAGGGAAAAGAGAAGTTCACTAAAAATGGAATACTAGTCACTAGGGTATCTAGAAAGGTTCTTGGGAATTCTAATTTTTTTTTTTTTGCTCAAAACACATTATTTCTGCTCTAATATTAGTTTTGTCTCAAGAGTCATTCATTAATGTGAACTTTAAGATTTGCATTGTATACTTTTCCGTTTAGCTAATAACACTTGGTAAAACAGAGTAAGCAAGACAATGATCAAAGCAAATATAAATGGGCATTTGTGAACACAGAGTAGCAAGAAAGTGCCAAAATAATAAAAAGCAAAAGCAGACACAAACCTTAGAGCCTTTAATGCCAAATTGGAAAAGCTTAATTCCATTGGATTTGAGAAACTGCATGTTGTTCTCAGGATACACTTCTGGACACAACGATCTTTCACACAAAACAAGAACAAGAAAATCTTGAATAAACTATTCCAATGTGTGTTTTTTTATATAGAATAGAAGACAGACTCAGCTGATTGAAATGCTTACATGATTGAGCGAAGGCCAAGAGTCTTGAGGAAGGAGAAGTTGGTCGAGTCCGGGAATCCAGACCGGAAAATACCGTTATCGACCATCGCAAAGTTCAACGGAGGAAGCAGGCTAAGTTCGTCGCCAGTGGAAACCTCTAGCAATGGTGTGGACGGCGGCGGAGGTACGTTTCTCCGGTGGTCAACCTTAGCTACTTCGATTGTCTGGAAGATCTTGCTTCCATCTTCTTTCTCCTCGTCCTTGCTAAACTTGTTCATAGTTTTCTCAATCAGTTTCATCCTCAAAACGAGTTCTGAGTCTCTTGTCTTGTTTTTTGATTTATCGGTTTGGTTATGGAGAAGTAATGGAGATGGTCGTTATGTTTCGACAGCCTTGTTGCTTTATATAGACACGCCATTGTAGAGAGAGAAACTTTGTTGTCGCTTTTGTGACTTTAGAGAGATAAAGAAAAGTAAAGAGCAATTTGGAAGAGATGGTGAATGAGACTTGCGTGTGTTTTCGACTAATTAATTTAAAAGTGTTGCATGATGTTAATTCGTTCAGTGAGATTTATGAAAATGTAAATAATCTTTTATTATATATTAAAAGAAAAGCATTACAATATTTAAGGTAGCCTCATTATCGCAATGAGTTTCAGAATATTAGAGAAATAAGTTGGTCCATCAAAATATATAATAAGTTTTTGTATTGAATTAATCATAAATTCATCATTAATATTCTTCATTATTTCCTTAAATAAAAATTACGGAATTGTCTAATATGGCTAAAGTATATATGGAAATTAATAATTTTGAATAATAAATATTTGATAAAATTATTAAAATAAATAACACAACCACATTAACCATATAAATTTAGCTTCTTCGTATTTGTTATATTTTTATTTTCTAAATACATCTTTAAATTATTAAAATTGTTAAAACTCTCACATTCAAATTTTTTGATCCATTATTAAATATTTTTTTATGATGAAATACAAATGATTACAAAATCATATAATTAGAAAGTCTCATTTAATAAATATTAATTTTATGTTAATATTTATTTAAATTGAATTATATACCATTTAAAACAGAAAAGTGATAGTTTAGATTCATAAAATTTATTTATTTATTCACACCAATTTAATTAATATAGGCATAATACTTAATAATTTTTATTATTCTTTATTATTTCATAAAAATAAAAGAAAATATAATATAATATATATATATAATGTTCATTCCGCGCATGACACGGATTTTCACCTAGTACTTATTAAACGAGTTTACAAGTTAAGTTGGTTGATTGTTTTGTAGTTAATAAGATTTCGAACGTATTATTATACCATATTATAAAACGTTATTTTATCTTTTGTCAAACTACTTATTTAAATCGTACACCAAAGAAATACAATTCATATTTGTGGTTCTATAGCAAATGACGTGAAACAAAATTGAAGGAAAACTATGGTAGTGATCAAGTGAAGCCGTTTAACTCACAGAAATTAAGTTAGCTGAGTAAAAGTAATAAAAGAAAAATTCACGCCCAAAAGAAATTCATGAAACTGCTGACAATAACATTGTGACTCATTTGACATCCAAACAATAGTTTTGTTATAGGGAAATTGGGTTCTATAACTACACAAAAACCCTTAATTAGTTAAATAGCCAAAATCACATTCTCTCTCCCCTTCTTTCTTCCTATCTATCTCTACTCTCTCTCCTAAAAACCAAATTTTCATTTTTTTTCCTAGCTATTTGGCAAATAAACCCTTTGTTATAAGGCCCTTTCTCACAAAAAAAAACAATAGTTTTGTTATAAATTATAGTAGATGTTGTTGTCGTAGGTCGCGGACATATCTAGGTCAGTTCTATAAGGATCGACCCGATCGTGTCAGTATTTTGTTGTTTTATATGTGAGCTTCATTTAAAATTTTATTTTCTTTAATTCGTATGATCAAGTAATCAAGCCTAGTTTTTCGATTAGTTACATATCAAGTACTTTTTCACTTCCTACAAATTATATATAATTATGTATAGAACCGGCTGCTTTTTGTATATTTTATCAAACGTATAGCTGTCTATTTTGTTAAACTAGTCGAACATATATGTTTGATAGTTTTCTTATGTAGAATAATTATATATATTTAATATTTTAGGAATCATGCATCATCTTATTTTTAGTACAATTCTGCATAAATGTTAGTAGCTACTGTCACTATTTTAAGACTGTTATTAATGTTGTGCTATTTGTTATAAACATCCAACAGTTGATGATTGTTTGCTCCGTTGTTCCTCGAACTGTTTTGTTTTTAATTTAATATATAGAAAATGATAGTATACCTTCACATGTAGTTTAGTAATTTGTGCTAGTATTGTCTACAAGGATGTGTACCAATTATAGACGACACAAAATAATTAGTTAAGATTGTAAATTTTTAATGATGACAAAAACTGGAAGTAAGAAATTGCGCATACTATGTTTATCAGCTCAACGACTATATCCTACAAAGTACTGAGTGGACTCCATGCGACCCGAACTAATAAATCTGCTGCAAAGGGCTCCCAAGATTCTGCAGTTTTCCTTGATTACATAACGTAAATTAAACATTTAAGGAAATTTGTAACAATATTAGATCAATGTTCATATGGTCATATATAATATGGACGAAAAAGATGAAAAGTTCAAAGTCCGAAAATAAAAACGTACAGTTTGGTTCAATCACTGATCAAATGTGTTCCACTAGCAAAAAAAATAGTATTCCACTCTAATGTTTAAATAGTCGAAAACTTCTAATTGGTTCAATCGTTGTGCTATCCACGTCATGTTATTGTCATATACAATATTCACAGCATATAAATGGAAATAAAGCAGCTATTTTATAAACAACTATTTTCAAAAAATAGAACTGGCGATAAAGCCAAAAACTTATAAAATATACGTAGAGATATAATAAGTATAGAATCTTTTGTTATTCATTTTGTCGTTCTTTTGTTTTTGTTTTTTTTTTTCCTAAAATTTGGATTGTCGTTCTTTTGTTATTAATTTAACCATTGGATTTGACCTTAGATCGTATATAATTAAAAAAGGTAGCCTCTCAGTGTAATGTTATCATATTAATGAAGATACGAACATTTCTTTAGTAGATTTACAGAACTAAAATTTGTATATTTAGAAGACCCAATTACAGACCAATTAGTTCCAAGCCAGTTTCTTTTCCGTCGTTCCTTTCTATAAGAAAAGGAAATAATAAAAATAAAATAACTAATGGGAAAATCGAAAAGGCACATTCGGTGGAATATGCTTCAGATTTGGGAAAGGTTATTGGACCACGAGCTGAGCTGGCTCCACATACCGTAAGGAGCTCACCGTGAGAATGTACAAACAAACCCTAATTTTTCAGGTTACTAGTAATTTTGTTATAATTAACTTTGGTGTTAATTCAAAATTTATGTTTTAACATTAGTGCAGAAATTGCTTCGATAACTCGAAGCATACAATTAATTAATGCTGTGAATTGCAAATTTTCAACCAATTTTAACCTCATATTCATTATGTTTCCAAAGTAAAACTTCTTCTATCTTTAAATATTTCTAAAAAGTGTCATTTTACTATTTTCTCTTATTTTAAAATAATGTCATTTTATATTTTCAATGTAAAATTTTACACATAATTTTTTATTCATTCTTTTAAATAACCAATACATACTTTATTAAAATCATTTTTATTTAAATAATTATACATTAAATGAGGACATATTAGTATTTGTTCATTTTTTTAAAATGTGTGAAATATGTCAAAATGACACTTATACTGAAACAAATGGAGTAATATATAAGAAATATAATATTAATTTAAAACTATGTATTTTATTAGTTAATAATGGCAAATAATAAAGCATAAAATTAACTGAATTTATTAAATTACAATTGAATTAAATTTATTTAAAATAATTAATCAAACAAAATGATGATCTTCAGATTAAAATAAATGTATGTTTAATATACGTGAAATCTGGAAAATATTTGTTTAGAAAAAAGAAACGATTTTATACACATAGTCCCTCTGATTTTAAATATATGATGTTTTAGAGACAAAGAATATTTCAAATTACAAAAAAGTTCAGTTTTCAATGTAAAAAGTTATTAGTTTTATATTATGACTTTTTATATTTGAAATCTAATTTTTTATTAGTTAGTATATGATAAAAAGTTAATAATATTTTAGAAAACATATAAAATTAAATATTTAATATGTATACAAAAATTTAGGATGACATCTATTAAAAACGGAGGGAGTATAGGTTTATCTGAATTCATTTTTTTGCTCGGTTTCCTATCTCAAAATGTTCCCAAACCAAGGTTGTTAGAAACATTCATAGAACAAACCTTTAGGACAGAAGATTCACAAAACAAAATTGTCGATTAGCATTCAATGGTATGCGTATTGGTTTTTAACCCAATAATTTTTGACGTAGACCAGTGATACAGTGGTATGTAAATCTGTTTCCAAACGGAATTGGAACGTGGCGAAACAGGGATTCAGTCTCATATTTACAAAGGTTTTCTCATCAGGTGAATTATAATGCATAATCTTTTGGCTCATAACGAAACCATTTTGGAAGATGAGATGGGACTACAGATAATTGATGAACTCGATCCACTTTTAAAATTAGATTTTATAAAAATATATTTTTTAAAAAAGCTTATGATTGGTAATAAGACGGGCAGGGAGATAATAAAAAAAAATGTGGAATGATTTTTTAAAATACTTAATCTGGAATCATTTTGATAAATTGACATTTCTAGAGTCATGATAAAACAATGCATGATAATTTGCTATTGAATAATGCTCCTAACACGAAGAAATAGCTGGAATACTTACGAGATAAGTATTTAGTGTCCAGAAAATTAGACTAAAAAACTTAACTGTAAATTAGTTGGGTTTTAGGATTTAGGAATGATGCCGTTCTAGGAGGCTTTTTCAAAAAAAGAGTTTCATGTCGCTGACCGCCCAAAATGACAGGTTCAAACACTGTTGATTTCCTACACAAGAGACATTTTTTTCTTTTAATAAAAAACAAACGAACGAAAAATGAAATGGATGGAGTAACTTATTAACTTGTGGATAACGTAACACTTGCACAGTAATTTGCGGACTATAAATAAAAAACTTAGTATTCTGAAAGGGAGACACATCACCTCACATGGTTGATACCACCATTAGTATTATGTGAACATTGGTCTCTTTTAAAGAGATTCCATGACCATTTTAATCAAGGAAAAGTGAGTAGAGATATGTTCTTATGTAGGGGCTTAAAACTAGTGTAAAGTTAACACCATATCATTACACTTAAA